AGGGAAGCACCAACTCAATGCTCCCAAGAGAGGCGAGCACCGAGATCGGTCTCCTAAGGGTGTTCCCTTTCCCTGGGAGTACCTGTCGTGGGTGGTCAACCGGTAAATGAAAGTTTCGTTAATCAATCACATTGTTTGAGAGAAAAAATAAAAAAAAAAAGAAGAAAAGATATTTTAATTTTTTTTATATTCTCTATGAATGGTGTTTGTATTTTAAAATCTCATTGTATATTTTAAAATTGATGGACACACATAAAATTACAACTAAAAATTAAAAAAATGAAAGTATTTTACCTTAACTTATTAGATGTGTATTCTAAAATTGGAGAATATGCCAAATACAAACAGAAATTCTGTACATAAACGAAGCCAAAAAAAAAAAAGTGAGAAAGAGAAAAGAAAGGAAAAAGAGAGCCGACTAGCACATGTACGGGGCTTTTAGAGCTTATTGGTCATATAAGTGATTATGTGTAGATAAATGGTATTCAAAAGGTTTTATCAGCTTAATAATTGGTTCTTTCTAAAAGCCTTGGTTGATGTCTTGACCAAGAATCATGCTAGATATCTCCCCCAAATCTTTTCTTTGAACAACTTTTTCAAAGCTTATTTTTTCTCTTCATCTACAATATTGCAATTTGCAAGCTTTCCTTTTTACATTGGGCCAAAAAGTTTGAAAAATCCAGTCAAACGAAAATTGTTCCTGGCCCCATGGTAAAAATACCAAGGAAAAAATAAATTATGATGGAGGAAGTTGCATCCCACTTACGTGATGGTGATGTCATTCCTGTATCAATACTAAATCCAAGCCCATGATTGAGTTCTTGTACTGTCTCATCTGAACCCATGTTTACCGATTTAAACATGTCAATTGCAAGAAAACAAAGCTGAAAAAGCTAAAAAGATTACGGGGACCCATCAAAGATAATTGGATAATGGAAATGGTTCCAGGCGTGAATACCTGATTAGATCTATAAGGACTACTTAACCATAAAAGGTCATTATCTAAGGTTTGACAAACTGCCTTATCAAGTTTTCATTCTTCTGTTTACATTAATTTTTTGTTTGTTTAACATTTTTTCTAATGGTAGGATCCTGGTCCTTCCACTAAGACTGGTTCAAGGGCTTAGATTAGTTTTTTTTTTTTTTTGTTTGTGTGTGTATGTCTGTTCCAGTCTTGCCAAGGCGAGTCTTGGGACCATTTAAATGTTACTCAAATAGGATTTGGTTTCCCTCTGGATGATGCCATAGATATGAACATGGCAATGCCATAGTTCCCCACCAGTCTTTCGGCTGTCATGTGTTTGATGGGGTCAAGCCTGTTGAACTAAACTCTACAGGGCCCCATGTTCATGACTTGATTTAGAATGGTCACATGCCATGTTCTCTCTTTTGATTTTGATTCCTTTTCCTAATTTTTGCTCAGTGTGTATTCCATTCTTATCGCAAGAAAAATTGGGCAAGGTTTGAAAAGTTTTGAGTTAGCTTCTGTGGTTTACTTCTTTTACGGGTTATATATATGTAGTACATGGAAATTTCATGACGGTTGACACAATGTTGGAAAAAAATACTGCAAAGAATTCAGACAACAAAATTAAAAAACATTATATGATAAAACTTTGAAAATTCTTTGTGCTTGATCGTTTACTTGAATTTGGTCAGAATGCGAGCCGATAGCATCATATGGAAACCTGTGTCCAAACTCTGAAGTCTGCAAATGTTGATAGATTAATTGCAGGATCAAAAGATTCACCCTCAGTCCCCTGTAGCAGCTACGTACCTATGTGATGTTACCAAAGCTATTGCTGCTTTCTCGAGCTCCTAAACCCAGATGAAGGAACGGGAAAAGCAAGTTTAAAAGTCCTGTAGAATTGTCTACGCGGATGATATTTTCAAACGACGACAGTTCTTTCTCTGTAATCTTCTGCAGCAATCATCAGCGTGCATAATTGATTTTGATTGGAGCAAATTATTAAAGCAATTTCAGCCAAAAAGCTTAGTCATCATGTCTCTTCTTTATGTTGCCCCTCCCTTTGATAGCAAGAGAAATGACCCCTTGAAAGTGCCCGTAGAGGACGAGATAAAAAGATACCTAATAACAACTAAAAAGGATTTTCTTTTCAATTTTTTAAGTTGGGGAAACAGAAGTAATCTTTTACCGTGAAAACTACGACTAGCAGTAAAAAAATGGGCCAAATATAATTAATCTAACCATTCAGGCTAGTGTAGAGTAACTAGCTAACAATCCTAATTCCAACTCTCTTGTTCAAGAGATACATGTCACTTCAGTTTTAAGTATAATTACGTCAAAACCTTATTTTACCGAATAATACGTGGAAAGATAATTCATCTGCCGACGAAGTTCACTGCATTTAAAAGAGTTAGATGGAGCCTTTCAAAAGCAAATCCATCATGTCTTGAAGAAAGGCAACAAATTCACATGCTGTTGATATCATTGGCTTTGATTTCTCATCGAGAGTTATTTAAATTAGGGCATCATTGTTGAAGCAACATGGACCTCCCGCGATGTCCTTTTGACTTTATGGTGCAATCTTATACTCCATAAATAGGAGTTTGACTAAGTTTGGCTTTAAGTCCTTTTAGCCTCAATTATTTTTGCTTTTACCTTACTCCTAGGTCGGCTCTGTTCCCCCTATTTGGAAGAGCTCAATCAAACTTTATGATCGCGCAGGAGCCGGGTCTAGTTTAATCAATAATCATGAGCTAATCCCCTGCCTAACCCTAATGATCATCAAGACCTGGCCTAATCAAATCCAACTACCAAGTCCGTTTACGGTTAAAGTCTAGTATATTCGAAAAGTCCAACCCAAGTCCAAAAAGCTACATGGTTCATCATTTGGCACCCATTTTTCTAAGCATCAACCAAACTAAACATAAATAATTTGATCTTGACAAGGTCCTTTATGAAAATGGCCAATGAAAGCTTGATTGGTGCAGGCAGGAATTTGCACTCAACCTACCCATAATTTGAGCGGGTATCATCTAATACAAAACAACACGTAGTTTTTTTTTATATATATGTATGATTTTCTGTTTCATTATAACCGGATCTGGTTGCATTAAAAACCAGCTTAGTTGCTTTCAAAGTTTAATTGACGAAAAGGAATACAAAATAAATAATGCAAATTAAGATGTGTCCGATAATGCCATATCCAACTCTTTGGTATCAAAAAAGTTGCCTTGGACCGACAAATTAGCCAACACAAGACACATGTCTTTTGGTGTTTCTTTATTTTAAGTATAATTACGTCGGCACACACGTAAGGCTAAATCTTTAATCATATAACGGACGAGATTATTACTATTATACTATTACGATTATTAATTTGAAGGAGATATGTCAATTTATCCACCCTAGAACTTGCTCTTTCCCCACTCGTTTATCACCCAAGACAAGAAAACGACTTCTTTGACAGAGCGAGAAGGGGGTAGGAAAAAATAATATTAATAATAATAATAATAATAATAGTACACATTAATTTGGCAAACGTCAAGTGAATAATTATTTTTATATTTGAAGTCAAAAAAGGATTGAAGAGTTCATATAATGACGATGGCGATGGTAAAAAATTGGTGATGAAAGTGATGATGATGATGATGAGAACATCAAAGTGGGAGAGGGAGCGAGCAGTTTCCTGGAAAGTCACCCTCTCTTCCAGGAAAGTGCTCTCATCATTTTATTGGTCCACACCATAATTTCAGGGCATCAAATAAAAGAATGAGAGGGGAAAAAAAGACTAAACTAGTAGTACTCCACCAGTTAGAAGTAGTATTTGGTAAGCAGGGAAATTTCTCATCATTCATGTTCCTATCCACAGCAATCATGATAGCGTGCCTATAACGTATACATGGTTTACTTGCAAGGTTGCGAGAACCCCCCCCATGAATCAAGACCGTCCACTCGAATTGATCAAACCTAAGATAGGTTCCATTATTGTAAAGTGGAATATCTAGCTTTTGGGATGAGATTTGGAATTTTTAATCAAAAGAGGGGATTTGAGAGGGGGAAGAAGAAGCTGAGGGGAGGAAAAGAAGGGGGGGTTCTTCGGGGCCCATCTAATAGAAGGGCCGCCTGTCTGACCTCCATGGAAAATCTCCATGATGAGATTGTGAGGAAAAAATTAAAAAGAAAAAAAAGGGTGAGCCATTGGGACATCACGTGGGGTATGACCCACCAGTTCCCTTAAAGAGAGAGCATCTCACGAGACTATGGCTAGCCCTCCAATTTCCCTTTTTTTTTTTTTGTTTTGGGAAGAGTTTTTCAAGTGAATCATCCATTCCTTTCTTTGTCTGCACGCCTCTCACCACCCATTTTTTTTCCTTGACTCTCTCTTGCTTTCTGGTTTTTCTCTCATGTATAAAAACAACTAAATTAGAGACAGATACACGTGAGCTAACCTCCTTCTTCCCACACCCTTTGCCTCTCTCACTTAATCATAACCTCCAACTGATTTATAATTATCCCAGGTTCTTCTTCATTTGAGACACCCAAAAAGGTGGACACTATACCGCATGAAAGTGGGATGACCCATTTGTACTATACATTCAAGAATTACATTCTTAATTTGATACTCTGTATATATATTCCAACTAAGGTAGATATTAATTTGATTGTTGTTGATCTTATCAAAAATATTATTTTATTGTAATAGTAGTAGAAACTAGAAAGTATTTTTTGACAATTGTGTGAGAAGAAGTTTCGGAGCAAGTGTTTCATGTACACATGGGTTGATTTCAACTAACATGTCCAACAAGATTTCTATTCAATTGGGAAAATCTTGAAAAGAGAGTCAATGTGAACACCATTACTTTTCTTCCATATTTTAAGAACTTTGTACGAATATCAGGGCAACAATTTTTCTCGACTAGATTTTGAAAAATAAAAGAATCAAAGCAATGTGTCCATCCATATCCATCTAATCAAAGCTAACACGATAAATATTTAAGGATAAATGATCAAACAAGAAGTCTAGCATAAGACATGGAACAAAAGAATCAATAATAAATAACAGTAATCCCTTCATAGATACTATATCTTTCTAATGATTTACAAACATATATTTAATAAGATGAGGAGATTGATCAGTAATTATACTATTTTTTTTCTACAAATTAATTAATTACACTAATTTTAAATTCACTACAAGCCCTTAACCAAAAAATAGAGGGGTTGTGGGGGTGGTCTATTTTTTTCCTTTTCTTTTGCTACAAAGTTCTAACAACTTAATCAACATGCCGCAGAAGGATTGGTGAAGGGATTATAGAAATGAGGCTTTGAAGCCATTGAAAACGGGCTCTTGGAATTGCCATCGCCCACACCGCCAATCCTTTCACAAGATGGGCACATGGTGAGAGTAGCAGCTGGCATGTGCATGTAAAAGGGTTGAGCCAGTTTCAGTGCCTTGAGTTCTTGTAGCTCCTTTTGCAGTCTCCTGTTTTCATCTGTTAGTGTCTCACAGCACTTCTTGAGGAACTCACAGTCCACCTCAGTTTGCTTGAGCTTTGTCCTGTCAGAGTAAAAAAAAGGCAAAGATTTTCATGATTTAGATGATTTTGTATGGATCAGGTCATACGAGTAAAAAAGTTAAAGCCAAAAACTTTCTAGAGATAACAGCGAAGGCAGCTGCTTTGAAGTACTTGTTCCGTGTGCTTTATGCACAGGTTTCCTTCGGGGTGAAAATGTTGTGATCATAATGTTTCTTTTGGGGCAAAGAAGCTTTCCCTTTTCGTGGGACTTTTGGAAAATTTTCCCGGTTCTGGTTACTGTTTTGTTGTAAAAACTTTCTGGGTTATGGTTTAATAAAGATAAAAGAGGATTAATTTACCTGGCTCTCCTGTTCTGGAACCATACTTCAACTTGTCTAGGCCTCAGGTTTAATTGCCTTGCTAAAGCTTGCTTTTGCTTCTGTTAACAAAAAATATATATATAAAAACAAGATTAATAATTAGTCAATTAGATAATATAACAACTAATCAAGCTAATAGTGATAATAATCAGACAAAGAATTGGAGAGAAAGAGAGAGAGAGAGAGAGAGAGAGAGAGAGAGCTTACAGGATTGAGAGTGCTATGCTGTTTAAAGCTTTCCTCGAGAAGAGCAGATTGGTCTTTGGTGAGCCTGAGTTTCTTTCTTGCATTAACACCGTCTTCATCCTCATCGCTAACTCTAGAGGAATTCTTCTCTACCTCTACTTCTTCGCTGCTAAGGTCTCTCTCCCTCTTGACCCTACCACTAGAAAACGAAGAAACAGCACTATGAGGAGAAGCTTGACGATACAAATCACCGGCCGCGGCAGGTTCCTCATGATGATGATAACCACCTTTGTTCACATCAATCTTTTTGCTAGCAGTAACAACTTGATAGCTCTCACCGGAAAGCCCCAGCGTCAGCGACGGCTCGAAACCTGCCGCTGCCGTGGCTGTTGGTTCAAACTTGACGCATGATGACTTCTTGGGCGTTTGATTGTTGGCCTTGGATGAAGTTTCCAGGGTTGATGAGATGCCTAACCCCAGAACAAGGCCTGTATTACATGCATCATCAAGACCCATTAAGCTCAAAATTGTCTATCAATGGAGTTGGACAGTTTTTTTTTTTTTTTCTCTTCTTGCTATGTATATGAGATGGGGGAGGAAATAGAGGAAAGACAGAGAGAGGGGGGAGTGGTTTGAAAGATATGGGGTGCAAAAGGGTCTTAAGAAGGGAAGAGAATGAGTAAGACTTTTTTGAGGGGGAGTTGGGTGGGTGGGTGGCTATGATTATTAATCAAAGGAATGAATTGAGTAGAGAAACGAATCTGGGGTATGCGAAATTATGAAAGCTCCTCTTTCTCTATCCTTCTCTCTATACATAGGTTGACCATGTTGAACCCCACTACAATTATCTCCATTATATTAACAAACAAACAAGGGCAATTTCCTCTCCCTCAAAGCTACAAATACCCCTCAATTCACATGGTAATGGGAAACACACATCAAGAGAATGATTCGTCAGCACTTCGCCATCCCTTAACGTACCAATTTTAGCTATTACTATTAGTCTACTACTACCTCTTTTCTTTTCCTATGGCTGCTATTTTGTGTATATATATTGTTTTACTTTGCATGTTTCAATTATTAGCCAACTGTTCCTTTGTTTAACTTATTTTTCTCATACATCCTTGACATTTTTTCTTTTTATCTTCCTTTCTTGCTAGCATGATTTTTCTTTTCTGGTCACTGTTTCCCTAACAATACCAATAAATATATTGCCTATGTTTTTGCACCCATTCAAAGATTACTTATGTTATTAAAAATTTTCTCTTTCACAAAAGAAGAGTTTAGTTTTATGACGTATAATATTGGGTAATTATTAAAGCCTGACTTAATCTGAAATTATGATAAGGGGGACATAATTGGGTGTATATTAACCAATTTCCCTTTATAACAGACCACATGAACTGTCTCCCACTCCATGCCTGGTTTAACTGATTAGAGATGGGTATCATGTCACCTTGCTCACCAAATATTGCACTCCAAATTTAATTTTTTTTCCTTTTTAATAAAGAGGGGCTGGTGGGCAGTTTTTCCCTTGCTTATTATGAAGATGGAGATTAGAAAAGGATGCCCACTATCTATCTCTCCTATAGTTTCAATGATCATGAGTGTGGTAGCTTCTTTGTATTGCTGTTTGTTGTATAGGAAAAAGAAAAAAAAAAGAGAAAGAAAAGTAGGTAGAAGACACCATGGGGGAGTTTCAAAGAGTGATAATGGTGCCAGAATATGATTCATCAGCAAGAATCCGGATCTTTGCTTAACTAGAAAGTTGATGTAGAGGGTTTGGGGCCTACTGCCCCCCCCTCTCCCCCTCCCCTATACATTGTATAAGCACTTCCAATAATGCTTTGTCGGCTATACTGATTAGAAGTTAGGTCACCCATAAACCATGATAAAACTCTAAAATAATACAAATGCAAATAACACGAGAAGCTTTTGGTAGTTGGTATTGGCTAACCCAAGCTAAAAAAAAAACACACACACAATAATTAGGACATAAAAATGATGGGAATTATGCTTTCATTCAGGGCCTTTGATGGTCCCCTGGACCAGTCATCAATCAGAAAGGTGTGGTGCACTTGTTTCCACGAAATTAATATAATGGTTAGTTTTCTTTTCGCTATGGTTAATTTAGTATTTCATATATATATATATATATATTTAATTTTCAGCTGATCAAGTTTGAAAATGGATCAAAAAGTTTGTAGTACTAATAATTAGTATATTTTTTTTACTAATCAATGGGAATTTGGAAAGGAATTGCGTTCTCTGATTAGTCAGTTTGATTGTGCTTTTTCTCTGGTAATCTTCGGATTAGGCTGAATTTGGTGTGTGTACGGTGACTGCGCATTTTTAAAAAGGTGGGGAGCCAACGCCCAATGGATGACTATCTTCTGCTTCAAGATAACGAGAAAGTGGAGACATTAGTAAACTGTAAACATCATTTGCTTGAAATTTTCTTTATATTGCAAACAAAGGCAAAATTGGCCGTTGGCCCGGTCGTTGTACATGTTTTTTTTCATTTTCTTTTCCTTTTTATGAAAACTTCACGTGAATAACCATGAATCATGATAATAATTCCTTCGTTGTTTCAGGCTTTGTTTCGTTGTTACAGTATTTTATTATTTATTTGTTTGCTTTTAAACAAATTGTTAAAAACCAAAATTTTAAATAATTGTTCTATATAAAAATAAAATCATATGTTTTATTTTTTGTAAAAATAATTAAATTTTTAATTGTAATTTTATAATGTATATTTTATTTTTTGTACGCTACCATGTTTTATTACATATATATATATATATAGTATATATGTACTTAAAAAAAAACATGTTTTTAATGTTTAACTTTCAAAAACTAAAAGGAAATAGTAAACCTAACAACCAAATGACACTTTAATTTATTGACTTACTATCACCCACACTGGAAAATTCAAAGGAAAATTCTTTAAAAAAAAAAGATACATAATTAAATAACCTTTGAATGGGGGTAACAACATAGACCATAATAATTTATGATTGCTTGGAAAGAGCTAGTCAACGATGAGAAAATCATAAAAATGAAAGGGAGACAGGGAAAAAAAAAGTTGAATTCTTAAGTCTCAAATTTTGAATGGTAGAAAAAACATACGTAAGGGTTTTCTTTTGTATTTTCATTTCTTTTATATATAAAAGAAAAAAATATATATGTTTCGGTCATAATTTATACTCATGAATCGAATTAAGAGTTTCAATATCTCTTTAATTCATAAATTTTTTAAATGTCATATATTTCTTTTATATATATTTAAAAAAAAAACTCTGTGTTTCGATCCTAATGTGTACTCGTGAATCAAATTGAGAGTCTGGGTTTTCCTTTAGCATCCCGATGACGTAAGACACGAAGATTTGAATACCAAAAAAATATTCTTTTTAGGTATACAATTGATTCTAGAAAAGATGAATTAATACGCACATTTTCCTATTGAATGAATTTTAAAAAATATCTGTTTAGAATGTTAGACTTCATAAAGCCGGCATTACTTGTTGCACCTTTTTTTTTTTTTTTCTCGTTGTGCTACTGGATAGAATTTTCATAGGGATTTAATAGGGTGTGACAGGAATGGTCTAGTTGTCATTTGCGGTGCATCCCCACTTTCCCCACAGTAAGCTTCATTATCCAACCAACTGTAACTTTCATCCTTGCGCTTAGGCCCCTACCCAGCTACGTACACTTTTCTCATGGTGATGCATGTGAAAAATGAAAATATCGCATCATGATTTGTTTGACAACACTCAAATACAACCAAAACGAAAGAAAAATCAAACATGAAATACGAGAAATTTCTTTGAAAGCGAAATCTATTTGTATTGACATTGAATTAATTAGATAAATAGATTATTTATTATTTTTTTACTTCTTATTCCCAATCCGAATTGCCTTTTAAAAAAATCTAAGCACTCAATCTGTTTAGTTAATTATTTTTTAATATAATTTTAGATTACAAGATGACAAAAGTAGTTATGTGTATTCAATCAACTTTCCCATATATATATATCATTTTAAAATTTAAATTTAAATTTTTTTAATTTTTTAAAACATTTAAAGAATAATTATTAATTATTTTTATACGTACATATATACATGTGTTTATATACACACATGAGTGTATATATATATTTATAGTTATATTATATGTGTGATAAAAGGTGTTTAAGATTGGACTTAGCAGGTTGGTTGAAACCTTCAAGAGCTAGACTAGAATTCGGTTCATCATTTAGCTTAAATTTATTATGAAAGCATTAAAATTATGTTAATTATTTTAAAAATTAAAATTAAAATTATATACATTTTTTTAATATAATAAATATCTCAAAGTAAACTGAACATAAAAATTGTATCCAAAGCCTAACTGAGGTCAAGTCAAGCCTACAAGTGTGATGGGTAATCTGATACATGGACAAGTCTATGTGTGATTAATTTAAAATTAATATTAAGATTAATTTATGAAATATAATATTTGGCTGCAAATTAGGTTGTACGATATGGAAATAATATATTATATACCCAGTTTTTTTAATAAAAAAAAAGAGAGTAGAAAAAAAAATCTCTATATTTATTTATATAGAGCAAAAGATATGTGTAATGAGAATTTGAAAATATGGTTTATCCAAAGATGGAGTCATCCAGTGGCTGAATACCAAAATCAATCAGATTATTAGCCATTATTTTTGGACCCCTAGTAGATAGACATTGACTTTGACACATTCGAGAAAATCTAACAATATTTACCATAACTATTCAACCAATTAATTAAATGTGGTATCCCCCCCAACCTTCACTTTTTAGGGGTATGATTGCAAATAATTACACATTCATTATTAATAATAAAGAAGAAAAACCCCACTAATCTTACTTCGTAATTAATTGGTGTGACCCAAAATCTCCTCCATCCAATGGGTTTAATTTCAACGTAGGACAGAGATAATATGTGGCCATTTAATTTATTAAAATAATAAACACGTGGCTAGTTGAGAAGAAGGGAGATTTTAAGAGACAAGTGGGGGCCACCAATGATTTGGTATGATGGGCATTTGATTCCGTGGGGGTTTGATGATTATGGAGCGTAGAAGTTGGCAATGATGGAGGTAAGAATTTGAAATGAGGCCTTTCTCCTTTTTTTTTTTTTTTTTCCTTTTTTAATCTTTCTTTTGCCCTTTGCATTTATCAAAGTCTAAATGCTGTGTAGTATTACGTGGTACACATTGATTATTATTTAATAATTCTCGATACTATTAATTATTAAATATAATAGCTTTTTCTTATGTTATCAAATTCACCTGTCATTTTAAAGATTTGAACTTTGATAACTAACTAGTAAATATTTATAAAAGAGTAAAAATTTATATTTTTATATTTTGTAACTTCTCACTATTGTCACTTTAAATGCCAAGCATCCTAATAAACGGAAACCCAGTGGGTTTTTTGGTCCTTTTCCCCGCCACAAACGAATAGGTGAGAATGATTTAGGCTAATGATTTCATAGGTGAAATTGCGAATTACCGACAGTAAAGGTTATTTTAAATTTACCTTCATCTTTTTTTCTTTTTCTTTTTAGATATTCGCCTATATTTCCAATTGCCTAACCGGGTACAAAATTTAGTGTTAGACACGTGATTCTCAATTGTACTCTAGAGCCGTAACAAACCTAACTGTC